ACGTACTTTTTACTTGTACCGGCGGTACAAGTAACGAAAGTAAAAGTACTGCCATATATGCTATACAGTACGGTTATTTTACCAACTTTTTTTCTAATTGTACGCTTCATACTATTATAATTAAGATATTGATTAAAAAAGCTGAAACATGAGGCTAAAAGAATTTTTTCCGAGTTGAACCGTAATACTGGTACCTCAGAACAACAATAAGGTTAAATTGAACCATGCATTCGTCCTAACTGAAAGCAATATCAGGCAATATCATTATCAGCAATATCATTAAGATATCATTAAGAAGCAATATCATTAAGAAGTACGGTAACAAAGTTCCACTTAGCGACTTCACGGTTCAGCAGATTCCAAAATTTCAATAAAAATTTTGAATAAATTATTCGAATGTCTGTAAAAAATGTAATTAAAAAATATAAATTAATTATATTGAAGTTGAATAGAAGTTCAGTTATACAGATTGCATACACACATGTATATATATATATATATTCACATTCCGCTTTACACCCNCCCAATAGTTATTAAAAACGAAGTAGTTATGACTTCAAGGAATTATTTTAGATATATATATAAAAATATAATGCTTACGATTTTAAAGTAAATAATTGATGTTTTAAAACTATTTTTCACAAAACAGTTTTTCTCTATTTTTTGCCCTAATCATTAACGATTTAAAAATGTCGTTTCAAATTCTAGTCTTGTCTACCGTAAGATAACTTTGCCCTTTCTTAAAATCATTTTTGCGATTATTTTCAACATTTAATATTACTTTTCAGATATTATTTTATAATGTTATAATGCTTAGATATTTTATAAATAAAATTGAGATTCAATTTAATTGTCAAATTGATACTTTACTTGGCTATTATCTGTCTTTAAATATAATTTTTCAATAAGTTAAATCGACTGACGTTTTTGTGAGGATGTGCTAATATAGTTTTAAATTTTTCCTTACTTAAATATGATTATAATAAGTATTAATTTTAAGGTAGAGACACTTTAAGAGCACTTTCTTTAAGATAAAGACACTTTTCTTTGTTACCAAACACTATAGAGTTGCCGTGGCACAGGAATAAGAGCGTTCTTCTTCAATGATGTCACCCGGGTTCGAATCCCGGCGTTGACTGGTCACACAAATTCTGCTATCGGTTAATACCGACCGCCATGCTGACATAGTTATTCTATAGTTTCTTTTTTTGTTAAAACAGCTGTACACATTTGCCTTAAAAACAGGCATTCGTTCTTAAATAACGTTACTTTTCAGTGAATAAGCAGTTTTACACTGGCATAACAGCTGACAATTTTTTTCAGTAAATTTAACAGATTTTTCTGCAGTTTATTGTTAATTTACAAATAACTTCTTTAAAAAGTCAATATATGAATGCGGAAAAAATTACAGAGGATTTTGCTTTGTTTATATTGTTATTTGTTGATTATTTTCGTCTCATTAAATAAATATCTATCAGCATTAGTAAATAAAAAATAGCTTCTGATATTGCATTGTATTGATAATTATTGTATTGTGTTGAAGTTTATTTTTAATTATTAATTTATTTCAAGTTCATAACTTTATGCATACTAAACATTTAAAAAAATATTTTTCGCTTCAAACTTTCTCAAATAAATAAGAGTTGAAAATCGGGCCTTTTGCAAAGTTACGTTTAAGAAGTGCAGTGTGTGAAAAAGGTGACAACTTGAATAACTTCTGATTTAATGATTGCATTTTTACGTACTAAGTATTAATCTTTAAGGTTTAAACAGGTGACCTTAAATATGCTAATTGATATTTTAAATTGTGAACTATATGCCATATTTCAAATTATGAACTCAGAGACAATGACGCATTATCTTATAATAAACATGTGTTTTTCTCCACAAAATCCAATTTTTGAATTTCAAAATATGGGAGCGGGAGTCGTTATCTGAGAAATATACGCCTCTACAGTCTGGTCAGAAAAACATTCGAAAAATTGTAACCCTTATCGCGCCTTATCTCGAGAACTTTTTAGGGGAATCAGAAATTTTTGGGCACATTTATAAAATTCGTGTATTCAGCGATATTTAAAAGTTTTTAATCCCAACACTAAATTCTTAATCCAGCAATGGTGATCGTATATTCTCTCTATGCAGCAAGAAAAAGGGAACACTGTTTTTTCTATTTTATCTCTAGCATTAGTAATGTCTTTTATTTTGTGTGTGATTAATATTTAAAACAGCAATATGTACCTCACTATTATCTTTAATTAATTCGAGATATAAAAAGATGTTTCTTAAGTCCTGTTTCTTCTCTCCATAAAACTGATAACAAGGAAATTTATTTTATTTATCTCTTTTTCTACCTTGTCACAGAAAAACAGTGCAGCAAAATTTTCAGTAAAGCTGAACTAAATAAAATTGACTTTTTTGCTGACCATCTGATTTGATTGAAACCTGAATTTTCTTTTTCTTCTTTTGCCTGTTTCTTCTAATTCCATCCTTCGATCAACTCCTCTTTATTAAGAAACTATTTTAAGCCTTCTTCAAAGCTTAACTGTAGGTTTTCAGAATTCACAAAGTAATATATATTTAGCTTTAACTTGGATTAGGTTTAAGCAGATATATTCGTTTGAAGCTTTCTTCTGAAGGATAGCACGAAATTTAAAATTACATTTGGCATCTTTATTGTAAGGTAATTGAATTATTGTAAGGCACTTTGAATTATATGGACTCTATGTATGGACAGCCACAGATAGTACAGGTCATCCGAAGCAATAGATTAAGATGACTTGGCCGTATCTAAAGAGCGCCAGAAAACAATGCAGTACGAATCGCCACCTTTTCGAATCCTTCGGGATATCGGGCCAGAGGAAGACCTCTAACTAGATGGCTGGATGACACTACTAAAGATCTCAAAGTAATAAAGATAAACAACTGGAAAAAAGTCGCTATGGATATGAGGTGTTGGAGGCTACGCGTGGTTGAGGCAGCCAAGGCCTGTAAGGGACTGTCGTGCTGAAGAAGAAGATTGTAAGGTAATGAAAAAATGTCCCCAATAGTTATTAAAAACGAAGTAGTTATGACTTCAAGGAATTATTTTAGATTCGAATTTTCTGATAATTGCTGCTGACCAAATTTAAATTACTGATAATAGATAGTTCTATTGAATTCAAGATATTTTTATCCCTAAATTGAAAATGCTAAGTATCTGCTACTTTGTTGTTAGGATTATAGTAGTTCTTATAAAAATACAGATAACCTCTAACTATCAGCTGGATACCATCTTCTAAAGATATTCATAGAACATCAGCTTTACGAAATTGCAATAAACAAATAAATAGATTAAAAAAATAAGCACTTTAGTTAAATTATAAGATCTATAATTACATGATTTTTTTTAATGTACCCAAAATTGATTTGTGGCTATCAATGTTCTGTTCAAAATCATAGCCTTGTAATTTTGAACCCAACCCAGATAACAAGGAAACACCCGGATCCCGCATTGTGACTAATTCACTATAATGAAGACTTTTTGAATAAACTAACACCAATTCCCGTTTCATTTCGATCTTTTTGCGTTTTAAAAAGTACCTAAGATAATAAATTATAAATACCGTTTATTTGGTTTCGATTACTTTCAGTCAGTTTTCCAAATGAATATTTTCAAAGCATTACAAAAAATTGAAATTTTTAGATTATAAATTATAATAATTAGTATTTGTTATTACATTAAGAACAGTATAGAAAGCATCACTAAAGAAATTTGCATCCTCCAGTTTTAAAATTTTAAATATTTAACTAGGCTAACGAATTTCAGTTTAAAAAATGTTGTTTGCAATAGACATTGTGAGCTCACTTCTTTTTCATTGTGAGTGAACATGAAAGATGCGTTGTTTTTCATTTAATTTTATTATTTAATTTAATGTTATTATTTAATTTTATTTTATTATTTTATTTTATTATTTAATTTAATTTTATTATTTAATTTAATTTCATTATTTTATTTATTTTATTATTTTATTTTATTTTATTATTTAATTTAATTTAATTTAATTTTTAAATTAATAAACATATTTCATTTTAATTATTTATTTTAGTAGTTTCCTTATTTTATTTACTGATATACGCAGGCTTCTGTGTTAAATACAGCTTATTAGCCAGCGTCGAGTTGAAAAACAGATTGCAAAAACGAGAGGCACACTACAAATATGAATCTAGGGGGGCACCGGGATTCGAACCTGCTACCGCAGCGCTAGCGAGAGTTTGGTGGAACAGCAAAATCAGTCGACCAAGCAGACCCTCACACGTGTTTTAACTGAACTTAGTTTCTTTTAAAGACGTTAATATTTTGTCAAATACAGAAACAATAGTCTTTTGAATGTTTGACCTTTTTAAAATGAGCCAATTACGTTTACTTGGAATATACTGAGTTTTTTTTTTTAATCTGGGCATGAACCACCTGTAATCTTCTTTGTAGCACTCTGTTAGTTTGGTCTTTTAACCACCTTAACCTCGGAAAAAAGCGATAAAAGAATGCTTACGAATGCATAAGAGAATTACAATCTTAAAAAAATATTACCCTTCAAGCGGTCAATCTTTCAATCGCATTTCACTGCACCATGGTGATGCATAGAACTTTTTGACCTTTAGACCTTTTCTCGTTTTTTTTTATCCTTTTTCTGTGTCTGTATTAGTTTCCAATACCATTTAATTTCGATACTTTACGATTAAATAGTATTTGGTGCGAAGAAAAGTTCATTGGTTCTCGGGAATTTTTTATTACTATTTTGCCTCATGCATCTAATAGAAATTATTGTAAAGCTTTTTTAAAAGAGGAATGTATTTATCAGTACATTCCAGGTATCTATTTTTTATCTCTCTCATTTTAGTTCTTATTCTTTAAAATTTATAGCTGATACTTTAACTGCGAAATTATTTTAAGTGTATTGATAAAAACTGCTCAACAAAGCTTTTGATTTATTTTATTATAATATTATATAAACGAAACCATGTGCAATTATCTTTTTAATGTTTTAGAAATTAGTTATACATTAAAGTTTGCTTTGCACAATTGACATAGATACTGTTTTTTCATACATAAAAGGGATACAATAGAAAAATAACATATATTAACCCAAAACGTTCAAATTTCGATTCGCTATTTCCTACAGAAAGAGCATTTTAAAATCGGGGGGCTAGAAGCTGGAGAGGTCGATTTACAGCAATACAAGCTTCTTTTATTTCTGTTGAAGGATTGCTCAACGCTTCTCTCGTTTCATGACCTGCTCCAGTACCACATTTTTCTATTACGCGCTCAATCACACAATCAGCAGTCCAGTGGTATACCCTATATAGGTAAATAAAAAGTCTTTTAGAATTTGTTCCTATATACATATTATAATAAGAGTAAATTCTTCAAACGCAGTAATTTACTGATGTGTTTCGAAATTAATATTCATAACATGCAAAATATTGAAGTATTTTTGAAAAATAAATACTTCTATTTGGTAAAATATGAGCATTTTTCTCACAAATATATACTTTTCTTTTCCTTTGCATGTTTTAATTTTTTATCTAAATAAAAATAAATCAAATGAATTTTGTGTGAGCTTCGTGCATTTAAATAGATGATGCCACATTAAAACTTGAAAAATTGAAATAAAAATAATTTTTTCCTAAGAATCTAAATTAATACAGAGAAGATACTTATCCATATAGGAAAACCATAAAAAATCTTTTTACTATTACCGACACCAATGATGCATTATTAAATTTAGTAATACGTATTAATGGTATTATGTAAATTGGTGTTTTTATTTGATACTAAATATATACGCGTGCAATTCTTACATGTACAATTCTTACATGTACAATTCTTACATGTATCTGGTCGTACTTAGCTGTATAAAACTCGAACCATAAAACGATATCTTCGCCCCTTAGTGGACTGATCGTAAGTCAAGGTCTCCGGATGATTACCAAGTTCAAGCATCAATGGTATCGGTCAGTGAGCGGGTTGATGACTATTTTGATAAGCTTAGGAGAGGACAGAGAATATGTGACATCGGTCCTCGTTAAATTGTTTTACCGTAAAGTGATCGACTTTGGACGCTGGTCAAGACGCCATCTACTCTAAGGAGCACCAAAGTTGTGATAGCTTTGTCAGGGCAGGTTACCTTAGCCAGGGTTGTATTTCAGGGTAGCTTTTCCAGTACCTCTCAATAAACAATTGAGCAGTTTTAGTGCGACGTAAATTAAGTTCTATAACTTTTACAAACTAATATCTTCAAAATATTCACATTTTGAAAAATTAGGTATGAAGTTGTTAATTATTAGTATATCTTCCTAACAGTACTGAAAATAATAGTTCTCTAGAGAAATAGCTCTTTTATCTCTTACAAGCAAACGAATTAATTATAGTGTATACTTACGTGCACTTGATATCATTTTCATTTGGATTTCTTTGAGGAGAAAAGTGTGACAATGCTCTCATTTGAATTTCTCTAAGGCAACCTACTAAGTAATCTTTATTGTTCTCTCTACAAACTTCATTTGTCTCATCATCAATCTCATTTGTTTCTGAAATAAATTATGAAACAATAGCATAAATATAAAACTTTTTTTTAATACAGTTGGAGGCTTTTTCTTAATGTGTAGTGGAGGAATAGGGCTCGATTCCTAATGGCGGCTTAAAGAACAAATGGGTATCAGCTTGTCTAAGAAGTAAAGGTGGCTTGCTCAGAATTCTAACCGCGTTATTACAACCATTTGACTGTTGCCACAGACTGTTGTGTCAATTCTGTAGTTTTATTTTACTAGGAGGTTTCGCTTTCTCTATGCTTTGCTTTTCAACCTGCATATGATTACTTCACATTTATGGCTGTTCAACTAATATTTAAGGAAAAAGTCCGATTTTTCTTATTCCATTTTATTGTTACTTATGACAGATAAAAGTTTGCTTCCTTACTTGTTGAAATACAGTTTCAACTTACTAAACAACATTTGATTACAAATTCAGACTGCCTCGTCATATTGAATGAATTTAACAAGTCTCTGAGTTCAGAGGAAGAAAGAACCTAAAAATTCATCTCAAATTCGCTGAACGACGATAAAGTTTGATCAAATTGTCACTGGAAATATTTTTTCTAGCAGTTTGGTTTGTATAGGTAATTTTACTGCCGATATTTGTCGTAATTTATAAGACTTCACTTGATCCTTTCATCAAATCCCGTCTTTGCTTTGCATTTCTTTAAAGAATTGAGAAATAGATCTTACTCTCGTAAATAAATTCCATAGAAGGTCCATTTTATATCATTGCTATAGGTAATTTGGGCCAAGTAATAAATTTAGGATGCCATGCTCCATTTAACGTTTTAACTATTTTAGCCGTTGAAAAGGCCGGGATAGCCTGTCCGATAGGGCGCCCATGTTCCAGAGTTTGTGGGTTCGAACCCTGCCGGCCGAAGACTTCCCGTGAAGTAAATGGTGACTGATGCACGCTAAATCTGTCGAGTCTCAAAGTCATCCATGTTCCCATAACAAATCTATGACTCTGGGGGTACTGGATAGGAGATCGATCATTCTCTGATTCAGGTCAAAATTACGATCTGTGGATGAATGAATGGATGCGTGAATCATCTTTATAATTTTTATTCCCTTTACGTAATTTTGAACTCGACTCGGAGGACAAACAGTAAGACAAACTTCCCTTCAAAGGAAACTTCTAAAAATTAACCAGCCTTTTCACGTCAATAAAAGGAAAACTATGAAACTTCCTTGTTTTTTTAAACGATAATAAGATTCTAACCCTCATTTCAACTACAACTAAAATGTTTTCGTCAGTAATATCACACTATTCAAATTACGATTTCATTGAACATGCAGTTATTTAAAACTATTCTAAATCCGTAAAAAAGAAGCGGTTCGTAAAAAAGGAAGCGGACCACACTGAATATTTTTTGGCCTAGAGATTGGTTCTTCACGGACCAGGACTTAATAGTTCGAGTGGATGACCTCAAATATGTTAATTAATTAGTACAGACGATATTTTAAGGTATCCGACTACGTTCGAAGCACCTTTTTTTTAAATGTACCTTTTAAAATGAAATTTTTGGCCAATACAATATTTTTTAGTCCATTATAGTACAATTAACAATTCAAAGCAACCTAAGTTCAGTATTTTTTTAAAATATTGTCAATTTTAAGCAAAATTTTGCAAAAAATTTGTAATTGGGAAAAACGCTCTCGGTCAAATTATTTTCATCTTACATCAAAATTGTTGACATATATGTCTACTACAAACTATTAAGAGTGTAATGAACCGGAATCTAAGTGAAATATTTATAAATAAAAATTTAGGGAACTTTCGAAGTTTTCTGACACGATATTTACTAAAAATTATTCTGATTATATTGTTAAAATCATCATATAAAAAATTCTAATCAACACTGAAACATTTGTCCGGTTCATTACACTCATAGAGGTCTATAATTACTATGAAAAAAATTTCAGACATCTAATTACAAACCATTTTAAAAAATTCAAGTTTTCGTGACACTATTTTACTGAAAATTTCATTATGAGAAAAATGCATTTGAAAATTAGATATATATATAGCACTGTAAAATACACTTTCACATATCTGAAAACCCCCCAGATTCATACATTGGACCTTCTTTAAGTTCAGTATGAACAATTTTCTTTTTTCTTTTGGCCCGTAATATTTTCCGCTGTTTTAATGCATGTAAGTTTGAGTGCCGCTTTGAATCTGTGATGCGGTTTTCATCCAGGCCCTGGCATCCTACTTGGGTATAAGAGTTTGGGAATAATCCAAGTTCATCTAATATTGATGCAACACCTTTAAATCCATCATTGAATAAAATGGCAGATATATTGGCACCCAAACGAAGAGTTTGAAGCTCAACGAATGTCGATTTTGGAATTATGTTCCACAAGACACCGTTGAAGCTTTCATTAGCGTTCTGAGTTTTTCCGTGCAGACACTTTTTCAGTAGTGTTCGATTGCACAGTTCCATATAAACAGGCTTAACAACTTTAACTATATCACGAGGAAGACCTTTTGACTTTTCTGCATAATCATTGCCAGAAAATTTACCCCGTTGAAATTTGCACCAACTATTACTTCCAACGGGGCACTGTCCATGTGTTGGATATTGAGCATTAGATATGCAGTGAAAAAACGCTGCAATTACTGCTGATTGCATATTTTCAAGGTTTCCCACATTACTACGGATTGCAATTCCGTAGTAATTTTGTAGTTTGTCTATGAATGCATCCGTCAATTTTCCCTTTCCACCTAAACCTTTCTGTTTACTTTTCAATTTGCGTAAACGAGACCCAACTCTCTTTTGGATATGTCCTATACACTCCAATTTATTTACAGAATTTTTTCCGTAAATGTCTCGCACACTGTCAAAAGCTTTTGAGTCACCGTCCCCATAGTAATCCGTGTACTTCAAACCGCGAATTTTTTTTGATCTTTCGAAGATGCGGTAGACTCCAACAGGCTCCATGGCTCCTGCAGACCCACTGTGGTTTGCACAAACATGATCAGAAGAATTTTTTATGATACTACAAAATCTACAATATTGGGACAGTACTTCCATGTCCAATATTTTGCCAGTATCCACAGAAATCGCAGTCACACAGCCATTTAAAGAAGAAAATCCTCTCCGCTGCCAAGTCCCATCAACAGAGACTCCACACTCTTTTATTATAGATGAACTGTCATTTTTGATTCTTGAAACTTCTTTAGCAGCTGTTATCATACATTTCTCAGCAACAGTTGTTGCGGCCTTTAGTAGTTTCTCTTCATGTTTTCGAAATGCACTCTTAGAGAGAAATGATGGAAAATTCAAAATGGTACATAGTTTTTTACCAGCAGAAAATCCAGCCCCAATTAGCCGTAGACCTAGCACGAATTTCGAATTTATTTCGTTGAGCTTATTATTCTTTCTCGAAGTACAAAAACCCTTCATGAAAGAGCAGTTTTTGCATTTCAGGGTGAAATTCGAAGAGAGTCCAAATCTTGAATTTTCCTCAAGGAAAAGGTTACTAGAAGAACATATTGGACAAAGTAAAATAGAAAATACTTGAATCAATATACTAATATCAATAATTCTATTTCCCGAAATTTCATCATCTAGTATCAATTTTTTGCAATCTTCAACACAAAGTTCTTGCTTATTATGCAATTTTAGTTCACTAGCAGTTTTTTCAGCTTTCACATCTTCTGAAAGTTTCAGCTTCGACGTATTTTGATTACCGTGAAATTTACGTTTTCGCGGCTTGTAACTTCTTTCTTTACCCATACTAAAACAAATATCAATTCATAAATCAGATATAAACTTTATAAAATGTAAGAACTCAATTCTAATTCAAAAAATATATTTGAAAACACGGGGAAAAAGCAAAGACAAAATAAACAAAGTTTCACCAGAATGTCACCAGATTTGGAGTCTTATGCTTTAATAAAACTGTGCTTATAGCTTTCTTATACTAACTAATTGAGGTTTACCATCTAGAACTTAAAGTATTTAAAAACACAACCGATATTGATTAAAATGAAGCTGGAAATATGAGAAATATCAAGCTTTCGGTTTCGTTTTCTTCACTTCCGGTAGCTTCAGATGACTATCACCCTTCTTTAAAACCTTCATAACTTTTTAAATATTTGACGCAGAGAAAAAATAAGAACAGTTTTAGAAACGTATAACTGTAGGCTATATTTTAAGACAATTAAAAAAAATTGTGTCATTTTGTCGAAAATTGCCTTTTCAACGTAGTCGGATACCTTAAAAAAAGAATTCAGACTAAAAAGGTAACTTTCTCTGAATAAACATACCTTATTTTCGATGGATTCCGATTCTAGACCATCAAAGTATAAGAGGTAAATGCAGTCTGGGAAATGTGTAATAATTTGGTCAGGAGAGCTGTCAAAGGTTTGACCCGTTAATGTTAATTTCACTTGTTTCGTATATCACCATATTACGAGACTTCTCTTAAAGAATTGAAAAAAATTTTGCACGCGACTAAAAATTTTGTTTATCCAAAGATAATTTCTTGCATGACTAATTTTTATTAGTTATTTTTTTTATTTGTAATATATATTTAGAATTTTGTTCAGAAAAAAGTTTTATGAATTATTTTTTCTAAGCTAAAGTCTTCAAAAAGTATACAAAGCAGGACGAAAGTAATGTATTCAATGACCAAGTGAAGCTAATGATAGGAACTGCTAAAGCATTTCTGTGGGCGGACAAGCGTTAGCAAGCAGTAGTGGTGCCTCCTAGTATAAATGCATATATTTGGCAATTCACATCTGAAGTCATCTTTCACTCAAGTAAAGTTACTAACACCATACCTGTTTCTCGGCATTTTTTGTCGATTTCCTGAAGTGCGTCTTCCAGTTGAGCTCTATCACTCTCATCTAGACAATCTTCAGCGATTGATCTCAAGCAGTTTTTATAAGTCCTCGCTACTCTAAAAAATTAATAAGTAAATAAATAGTTAAAATATTTTCATACTGAATTCTAATTTTTCCTAAATCTTCAAGTTTTAAAAACAAATCTAAATTTTTTTCCAGATGAAATCGATAGATTACTGGGTGTCTCGATATGACCTTAAGTGTCACTATGCTCTAGATAAAAACTACTCCATTGGTTCAATTTTTCTTTAATTAATTTTATAAGTCAAAAATTTTAATGAAAAATATGTCTTTAATTGGTTTCTATTTCCGCTATAATTTCTAATAATTTTATATAATAATTTTAAGATAATTTCAATTGATGGAATTACTTTTTGAGCAATATATGATTAAGGAAAAATAAATTATTTCTTCATTTTAAATAAATATAGAACGAGATAACTCAATTTTAATAGGACTTCAATGAAACAAGAAATAGAAAGTAATGTTTCTAGCATAGGCTTTTAAAATTTCTTGCTTTTGAATCACTAGAGTTTTTGTTAATAGAATAGAGAATCTGTACCATCACTAAATTGAAAATTAATTTTTTTTTAACAGATTTCATATGTGACTACACTCTTTCTAACGACTCTCTGCTCACGCATCATGTCCCCCCCCCCCACAACTATTCTTGTGTCCACTCTTTTCCTACCTTCTCTTCTGCAGATGATATTTCTTTAATATATTTTATTCTTACATTGAATAAAAACAAAAAAACGATGTTTTCCGACAATCAGTTTTCGAAACGTAAAATATAGATTTGAAATTTAGTTTCCTGTCTGAAATATTTTTTTTTGTAAATCGACGCACACAGATGCTTTGCTTCATTAAGATATTTCGGATATTAAATTTACCAAGACCCATAAAAGGAAATAAAAATAATTGCCTGAAAATATTTATCTCAAAAACTATTACATTAGCACTATTTTTGTTTTCAATTTGGGAATCATTGACATATTAAAGTTTATTTACCATAGAATTAGTTTTGAACGTCCGCTATCATAGAGGTCCTTATCATTGAGGTCCACCTTGGAATTCATGGTCACTTGGTCACCTTGCATGTGACGACGCGTCTTCGTCTGTAGGAAACAGATGCTTTTACAAAAATTTCTTTCTGTTAGAGTACAGATAGAAGTCAAGAAGAGAGAAAGATCTGGTTTTTAGAGTGGATGATTATGGATGTGGGATTTGTTTTATGCTGCCAAGCACATTACCACGAAGCAATACACCTATTTTTGTACACGAAGTTGCACTTTTTGTTCCTGTTTTTGCGTCTAATGAAATTCCTAACCTGTCAACATTTTCCTAGGGACGAAGACTAGCAGTCAAATGTGACTCGTTATTTCCATTTCCAGGTGGCTGACTTCTATACTGGATTTTGAAAACTATTTCTATAGTATGACAAATGTTAGTATTTCGTTGGTTTTTACGTTGAGAAAAAGTGAAGGTATTACTGTATATTTTGCAATAAATCTTTTAAGGCAATTATGTTTCGTTTCTTTTTATTGGGGGTGGTAATTTTACTTTTCGAAAAATAAAGAATCAGCATGTGTCGATTTGTCAACAGCAAGTTACCCATCTGTAAGCAAAAGCACAAAAAGTCATCAAATTGTATGACAAGTTATAGAAGTCTCGTAATTTTTTCAAAGAGAAGAAACTTGATTCTAAATCTTTTCAGTTAATTATGTTTTTTTCATTGGCCGTGGTAAATTTAATTCTCGAAAACCGTTCGCAAAATAAAGAAACAGCATATGTAGATTTGTCTGCAGAAGTTACCCAACTGTATGACAAGGGCTAGAAGTCTGGTAGATTATTGTTTCTCTTACAAAAAGTCTTTCTCCTTAAATTATGTTTGGTTTCTCTTATGAGAATTGAAAATGACTTTCGTTACTTTTATAAGAATTATGTAGAGATCAAAAAGAGCTTACTGGCATGCTTCGGCTTCTGATGGTTCATCCATAAGCCGTTCGAGCATACTGTTAAGGCATTCTCTTGCTCGTGTTTCAATGACTACGGAACTACACCTTTCTGCTTGAATTTCACCCACAGCTAGATAAATGATAGAAAATAATAAATCATATATAGGTAACAAAACTCCTATGTTTCTTTTGAGAATCGATCGCTAATTCATTTTTCCATCGTCTCGGAATTACAAAATTCCATCAATTTAGCTGTTTCAAATGGAGTAATAATAGAGATTATAATTTTCTATTCTATGATCGAAATTGGTTTTCAAAACTGACTCGAAATTCGGAAAATTGAGAAAGGAAGCTGTTAGTATTTACTTTATATAAAGTAACTATTATTTGATTAATACTTGAATTCGCTGATTTTAACATTTATGTTGAATAGGTAAAAAAATGACCCAGCACAGCTAAGTCTTTGTTTAATTATTCATTACTATAGAGTTAAAGCTTTTAATTTTCTATAGTTAGAATAACATTTTGGATAAAACCGAAAGGTATTATTCTCAAAACTCTAAAAACAGGTTGCAATACCTTTTCGAATAAAAAAACTTAGAAAATAAAAATTTTACTTCAATTTAACATTATATCAAGCGCTCATATACACTTTAAGGCAAGGCATGAAATTTCAATTCCACAGATAACAGCCGGGCTGAAACATTTGATCATCACTATTTCATGAAAACATCATGAAAATATGATTTTTTAAAATGCCTTTTTAATGAAAAGTTTTTGATGAAAATGATATAAAAATAATGTAAAAATTGGAACATATTTATTGTAATAACAATTTTAGATCAAAATAAGGTTGGCCTAAGTTTTAAAGGTTTCCAGAAGCAATTGTACTGTAGAGGAAAAGAGAATAATTTAGCATTTTTTATTCTAAATAAAAGAAAATGAATTTTTCAATAATTGCATGTAATACTTCCTTTAAGCATGATAATCAAAGGGCATATACATTCTTAAAAATGACATTTTAAATAATGGAAAGTTCTCGACATCCCTTAATAATTAATTGATTGTCAATGTCGAGAAAAAAATTTCGTAATCGTTCGAAATAAACAAGTTCGTAATCGTGTTGTACATTGCTGAATAACCACAGAAACTAAAGTTCTCTTTTGAAGAAAAGGCTCGCATGCCTTAATTGTGTAATAAAGATATACAAGTTGTCAGGCAAAGTAAATTTGCTTATATATGTTAGTTATACTAAATAATTTAACAATATTTAATTCTCTACACTTCTTTCCCATTTGGCCTAATGCTGTCTTATTTTAACGTTCTCTAGGAGCTGAGTTTAAAGTTGAGTCACAAACCAGCTTTATTTGAAAAATTGTTGAATGTATGCATCCTAAATTGTGGCAACTACTTTCTACACTGAGGAAAAAGGTATGGTAAATAATGCGAGAATAAGGTAAATTTTACCGTATTTCTGACTCTTTGGGAACAATAAAGGAATCGATAATTTTAACCTCAGTGCTTAGGTAATGATTTTAGTAAAATTATCAATAAATTGGGGTTTACTTATAATTTTATATTTACTTATATATATAAAATTTGGTAATTTCATCATGATACCTTAGAGAAGTATATAAAAACCATGTATTCGGTTGAATTTGCCTTCCAATTTTGTATTTTTTACTAAATGTGTGGTAATAAGAACTATAATTTTGGAGACCAGAATTTCAGGTAAACCGTTATCATAGGAACGGAAAGATTACCAAACGAATGTTTTCATGACCATAGATTTTGTTTTTATTTCAAGAATTTTATTTCTGGTTTGTAATACATCTTCGATTGCATCAAGAATCATCTTTGATGATCTAATAAACTTTTTATTAAGTAGTTGACCCCCTTTTTTGGTACTAAAATATACTAATTTTTACAGTGTATTTGATTCTGGAGAGAATTGTTAGCTTTAATGCTAACGTTGATTAGCCTTTCCCCCAATTTCTACAAAATGTCCGGAGTTGTCTACGCACTCTTATTGTGATTGTTCATTTGTACTTTTTCATTTTATGCTAACACCACAATAGCTCCTCTATTATTTCAATATATGTACTAATATCATGCTTGTCCTGGGATAATTTGAATACAAACTCTCATTCACTAATAGAGGGCAGCTTTATGGAGCTGACTAACACAATAAAACTAGTACTTCTCATTTCTCACAAGTGATGTAGACTTTAGATAAACTATTCAAGAAACATACCATGGTTTACTTAAGAAAACATAACTCAACCATACTTAATCGTAAGCCAATAAACTAACATAAAGTCATAAATAACTTTAGACTAATGCCTAGTTAAATTTTATTTGAACCCCTGTTAAATTTTAGTCAGAATGCTAGTTAAATTTCATTTGAAGCTTTTGAACGCTTGTTAGTTGTAAATGGTTACGAAACCGTATAATTTTATATTCATAGTTTTTTAACCATATCAGTGATAAAATGTTTCAAACCTTTAAATGAATAACTCTCGATGTAATGATAGGATTCTCTTGTATTTAGACTCAATCCTAATGGTACGAGGGTCTCACATTAAATATTCTGATTCATTAGTGCAAAAAACTCTCTAAGTTATGGATCAAACATAAAAGTGTGCTTCATCTTGATATATATATATATATATATATATATATATATATTAACCATCAATTTGACATCATCAATTTACACAGCGTTATCTTTCTTGTAGATGACGTGATTAGAGAGGAATGCATCGAACAGCTTTCCGTGCATGCAAACCAACTTGACGACCTGCTTCCATTTGACTAACTGCTGATCCACTATCGAAAGAACTCAAATGATATGTTATTGGCATTTAGCACACAATTATTGAAACAACACACTGAATTTCATTGAAATAAGTTCAACAACCTATGGTGCTATTTCAGTCAAATACCAAACATTATGAATTTCCGAAGGAATCAAGAGATTGTGTGCTCTACCTTTAATACAGATAACAAGTACTGCTCTATCACGCTCTTTAAATTCAAATTTACTGATATTGTTCGGCTGTCAAGAACGCTATTTTTCAAAAATCATTTATTTCTTAGCAATTGTATAGCTGTGTAGTTCGAGTTCTGAAAAATCAGTTTTGAATTCAGGAAAATTTTTATATGAGTTCATTTCTCTTACAGCTCAAATACACAATTAATACTCTATACCTTATTTCGTGGTTACACTGTATTTTTATGAGTGCTATAAAAATTTTACAGTCCTTTGAATACGTTTCGAAAAATCATAATTTTAAAAAAGAATATTAAACATTTAAAAAAAAACTAATATAATTAACTAAAAAAATTATAAGAGTTTTCAGAAGAACTATAATAAAAAAATTTCTCTCCATGTATAGCATTGATGGGCTCTTTTAAATAAACCAGAATATATTCGAGGCCTGTGGCTTCTAAAAAATGAGCCTTTTGCGCCGTTTACTGTGTTCTAGACATTTTCAGTTCCAAACTCCTGAATTTTATTAAAAGCTTGTAACTTTTTATAGAGTTGTAGTGGATACTTAATTGTGAACATTATCAATGAATTGAAATGGTCAAATTGGTTTACCAAAGAAACTATTAACATGGCTTAATCACTTTTCTAGAATTTAAAGTAATAAAAGTTGCTAATGCCATTTTTGTCGATAGAAAGTGATAAGGAAGCTACTCAGTACGTCTTACACCTATTTGGGGAAAATAATACGGAGTTACTATTAAGAGAATTATTATGCTCGGAATCATGAATATACGGAATTATTTATGCTGCAAATCATATGCTAATATATCTACAATGATTCATAACACTTTTAAAATGATATTAGTTTTCCTAATTATGTCGTTATGTACTTTTATAGAATATAAAATATTATTAAAAATGATGAGTGAACTTTAAAATTATGGAGAATATCTTAATTTCTGATTGTTGTCAAAATTCTTTCTAGTTCTTGTAAAATTTATTTATTAATGTTTGATTCTTCGTTTATTAAGTTTGATTTCCAGTTATTTTTTCACCCTTACATTAAAATAGTTCAAAAGTTCATATGTTTATTGTATTCCATTTTATTTCACTAAGATCAAGTAATCCTGGCTCATTCAAGCTTGCTTTTTAGTTATTTGTGGTAATATATCGCCTGAAGTTCAAAAGATTTGTTTACATTTATCATAAAAAATCTATTTAATAAGCAATCTTTTATATATTTTTTCTTTGAAAGTCTTGTATTAAGTTGCTGAAATAATTAGTTTTGGTGTTGGAAAATTTCATGGGAGTTTGTTTAAAAATTGTAAACTCAAAATTTTTCTTAAAGTGATTTGATTTAAGAATGTAAATAAAAATATATTATTCTAAATATTTTTGCAGGTTCATTTTGAAGAATCTCAACCAGAAATAAATGGAAAATATAGTAACAATAAATTAAGACTCGATGCTATTCCAACAATTTTTAATGTTTTTTAAAAATTCCTTAAAAAAGACCCAAAGGAATAGGCTGTCCACAACCTGAATCAATTTTAGATAAGCTTAAATCAATTTAATATTTTAATTCAATTTTTAATTCAATATTTTAATCAATTTAATATTTTAATTCAAGTTAAGTTTTAAATTGTTTAAGAATTTTTCTTTCTGTAATTTTGTTTTAGTGTTTGAAGAATAACAACAAATTGTGTAGAATTGATTGCGCATTTCAAATGCTTGCATGAACGAAAGCAATGTTTGAAAATACTAAAACATACAGAATTGTCTTAAATATGAAACTGGAGATAATTTACCTAAAATAAGATATTAATTTTTTCATATAATATAATTAAAATTTATGTAAAGAAATTGCTCAAAAGTTTCTTACCAATTAGAAGAAACAGGAATATAAACTTTGAATACATAGCGTGGAATTTTGGTAGCTCTAATATGGTAGTTAAGCAAAAACTACTTATCACATAAATACTTTGTAGAATGTTTTCTATTTAAATTCTTTTTTTTGAAACAGGAAGCTATTTCATTATCAAAGAGTCATTAGGGCCACTTGATCACATCGGAAACAGGCTTCCTTAATTAAATTATAAGTTAGCTAATCCTTGAGATTTATCTGATTTGTTTGACTAATTAAAATTGTCGTTATTTCTTTTTTTCTACTTCCTATAAAGTAAAGTATTTTATTCATTTTCTAATTAATACCTGCACCCATAATTGTTCATATTTAAATTTAATCTACAAATTGCTATTATTTTTTTTGAAATTCGAATTGCGTGAAATAATTATCTATGTTTCTTGAAGATATGCGAGTTCAATGTATTTTTTCCCGGTTTCTTATTCACCAAACATTCGTTAGTGACGATCTAGAGTGAAATTAATATAAATTAATTTATATTAATGTAAGAAATCTCAATTTTTTAAAGTTGTAGCAGAAAAACAATAATAAGTAATAATAATATCAAGATATATGAATTCAATCTGCTTTTTTTTTTTGTTTCTTATTCATTAAAAATCCGTTAGTGTTACTCTAGAGTGACAATAATATAGATTAATTTATTTCTGTTTTAGAAAACTAAATATTTGAAAGTTGTATAAGTTGTAGCAGAAAAATAATAAGAAGTTATAATTATATGAAGATATATGAGTTCCATGCATTTTTCCGGTTTCTTATTCACTAAACATTTGTTAGTGTCACTGTAGCTTTTGAAAGCTGTATAANAATTTCCAAGATTTTACTGTTTTATTGAGTGATATATACCCTGAGGAATTAATCTTACTTCGTAATCATGATGATAATATTAATTTCAATTTTTTGGATTTGGGTATTATGAAAGTTGAAAATATCTGCTTTGTTGATTTATACGATAAAAGAAATGATTTTAATTTTAATATTAATAAACTAATTGCTTGGAATTCTAATGTTTCTAGGAGCATCTATTTAAATACCACTTTTAATGAAATGAACGGAATTAAAAGAGTATGTAGTAATATTTATTTATCCAGAAAACAAATCGATAAACTCTTTCAAAATTTGATAAATAACAATGGATATCCAACTAAAGTAACAAAATTTTATACAAAATCATTGAATTAATCGTATATTTTTGTGGATATATTTGCTACACATTTTTTTTGCTTTGTTAATTTTATAATTTTCCCATGTGCATATCCACATCGGGGAAATCCATTGCCAAAATTCCTTTACTAAATAATTTCCTTTGTTAATCTATACAATTTTTCCATGTGCAAATCCATTTTGGGCAAATGCGTGGATAAAATTGTTTGCTAAAAATTTCTTTATTAATTTATAAATTTTTTCCATGTGCAAATCCATTTCGGGCAAATCCGTGGCTAAAATTATCTACTAAAATGTTTTTTCTTTGTTAATTTTTCCATGTCCAAATCCATTTCAGGCAAATCCGTGCTAAAATTAGCACTCAAAATTTCTTTGCAAAAATTACATAAAATAAAATAGAACACAATAAGTAGAATTAACACGTAAAAACGGAAAATAAAATATAATGAAAAAACAGAATAAAACATAAAACGTAATCAATAAAGCGCGTAGTGAAATCAAATGAACTTACATGAGCGGGAAATTTTTCAAGAATGATTTAAAATGTTTTCGTAACAAGATTGCCAGATTGCAAGATATAAAAACAAAAGCGCAAATTGATCGTAACTAGTGGAGTTTTGTTTTGAAGTGCGTTTTTACTGCATTACTGAAGTGAGTTTGATTTGTTAGTTACCAAGGATGGGCCAGAAAATGGATGTGCGCGCGGTAATATTAGACTGGATAATTTAAAAGAGTTGAATATAAATAATTTAAAAAAAAAAATATTTATTTAAGAAAAAAATATAAAATAAAAGAGAGAAAGAAGCATAAATTCCCTGTTTTGCACATAATTTAAGCCATGGATTTGCCCGAAATAGATTTGCACATGGAAAAATTATATAAATCAACAAAGAAATCTTTTTAGTAAATAATTTTAGCCACGGATTTTTACCTTACCTGAGGTTCGAATCCTGACGTTGACTGGTCATATGAATTCTGCTTTCAGTTCGTACCGACCACCATGCTGACAGATATTTTATAGATTCCTTTTTTGTTAAAACAACTGCACATATATGCTTAAGAAACAGGCATCCGTTTTTAAATAACGTTACCTTTCTGTGAATTAAACAGTTTTACACTGGCATACTAGCTGACAAATTTTTTTCAGTAAATTTAAAAGAGTTTTCTCTACAGTTTATTGTTTATTTACAAATAACTTCTTTAAAAAGTCCACATATGAATGTGGAATAAATTATAGAAGAATTTGCTTTGTTTATTTTATTATTTGTTGATTATTTTCGTCATATTTAATAAACATCTATCTGCATTAGTAAATACAAAATAGCTTCTGATATTGCATTGCATTAATCATTATTGTATTGTATTGCAGTTTATTTTTAATTATTAATTTTTTTCAAGTTTATAACTTTATGCATACTAAATATTTAAAAAAATAGTTTTTGTTCCGAACTTTTTTAAATAATTGAGTTGAAAATTGTACTTTTTGCAAAGTTATGTTAAGATGTACTGTGAGTGAAAAAAAGGGACAACTTGAAGATCTTCTGATTTAATGATTGCATTTTCACATACTAAAAATTAATCTTTAGGGTTTAAACAGGTTACCTTATAGTAAAGAAAGTGGAACACTGTTTTTCTTATTCCATCTCTAGCATTAGTAATGTCTTTTATTTTGTCTGTGTTTAATATTTAAAACAGCAATATCTACCTCACTATTATCTTTAATTACCGCGCGATAGAAAAAGATGCTTCATAAGTCTTGTTTTTTTCCTCTATATAACAGATAGCAAGGAAATTAATTTTATTTATCTCTTTTTCTACCTTGTCAAAGAAAAACAGTGAAGCAAAAGTTTCAGTAAAGCTGAAACAAATAAAATTGACTTTTTGCTGACCATATGGTTAATAAAACCTCAAATTCCTTTTCCTTCTTTCACCTGCTTCTTCTAATTCTTTCTCTTGATCAACTCCTTCTTATTAAAAAACTATTTTAAACCTTTTTCAAAGCTTAACTGAAGGTTTTAAGAATTTACAAAGTAATATATATTTAGCTTTTACTTGGATTAGGTTGAAGCAGATGCATTCCTTTGAGACATTCTTCTAAGGGAAAGTTCGAAATTTAAAATTATATTTACCATCTTTATCGTAAGATAATAAAAAAAATGTCTCTAATAATCATTAGGGCTGCAAGCTTGTCGCAGGAAAAAAGACCCCAAATTCGCGGGAAATTTTGAAAAATTACACAAATTCTAAACATAAAAAAATTTATTACATAAATGATGCAAAAGACAGAAATTGCGTAAATAATAAAAAAAGCTTAAAAATACACAACAAAAGTATTTCTTTGAATTTCAAGCAATATTAATATTTTTATTTAAATGAACAGAATTTTGGTACAAAGTATTGTACATTGTCAGATTATTCTCATTTATCCTTTGTCTTTCATCACTTACTACATTTTTATACTTAGAAACGATCTTAGAAACGCTGTTTTTAGGCACCGACAAACTTCGAATTGCCACTTTTGGAGTGTTCGGTCTTTGATTTCCAAAAATCGATCAATTTTCCTTCACCAACGCGCAATTCCTTGACCGTTGCTTTGTAAGAAGTAATTGCTGTGAAAACTCAAACATTCTACATTCAAACTACTAGTTATAAGTCCCTACTATCTACTAGTCCCCCCCCCCTTCATCTGAGAAACTGATCTATATTTAAGAAATCACAAGAAGCCGCCAAGGAAAAATTAACTGGATATGTAGAAAGGCAGTAGAGATTTCATTGCCCAGTGCAATAGCATGTATAGCAATTTTTCTGTCAAAGATTTAATTTATAACATTTTCCTTCTTTTGTGATTCCAATTTCTTTAGTACTGTTACTGACTTCAGGAGGGTAATTACCCTCCCTAAGTGTAGAAAGACCACCTTAGTTGACAAGATTGTGATTATCTCTTATCTCTGAACTATTTTCATGTCATTTTGCTATTGATTCACTCCCCTAAATATCTTATCAATTTTACATGTTCAATTCATGGTTCAGGAAAATAAAAAATTCTGTTTAATAAAAATAATAAATAAAAAATGGAAAAAAAAAATCAAATTTTAAGCAATTTTCGCGCAAGTCAAGACATATTGAGAAATTTGCGGATTTTAGGAAAAAAGATGACAATTTCGCGGAAATTCGCGCCGCGACAAACCTGCAGCCCTAATAATCATTAAAACTAAATAGTTATGACTTCAAGGAACTATTTTAGATTCGAAATTTCTGATAAATGCTGCTGACCAAATTAAAATTACTGATAATAGATAGTTCTAAATAATTTTCTAAAGATATTCTTACAACATCAGCTTCACGATATTACAATAATAAGTAAATAAATAGAATAAAAAAAATAAGCATTTTATTCAAATCATAAGAATTATAATTACACGATTTTTTTTAATTTACCCAAAATTGATTTGCGGCAATTAGTGTTCTGTTCAACACCATAGACTTGTAATTTTGAACCCAACCCAGATAACAAGAAAACACCTGGACCCCGAATTGAGACCAATTCATTATCAAGGAAACTTTTTGAATAAACCAATCCCTTTTCCGTTACATTCTGATCTTTTTTTGCGTTTTAAAAAGTACCTAAGTTAATAAATGGTAATTCCCGTTTATTTGGTTTCGATTACTTTCAGTCAGTTTTCCAAGTGAATATTTTTAAAAAATTTCAAAAAAGTGAAATTTTTCGATTATAAATTAAAATAATTAGGATTTGTTCTAACATTAAAAAAATTATAGAAAGCATCAGTCAACAAATTTTATCCCTTCAGTTTTAAAATTTTAAACATTTGGCTAGGCTAACGAATTTCGGTCAAAAAAATGTTGTTTGCAATACATATAGTGAGCTCACTGTTTTTTCATTGTGAATGAACTTGACAG